CCTAGAGTAATCGAAACACTGAACGATTGAACCGGGCAAAGTTACATGTCTTGAACAGGTGGTGTATATTACTAAAGGTTTAATAAGGTATGTTGCAAATAATATGTAGACGGATTCAGTATGAGGATATAGACAGTTTGGAAGTCTCTCATACAAACGTTGCTAAAATATTGTGTAGAATTATGGTCTACTTCGACATTAGTACTGCTCTAATAATAGACTTAATCCTGAAATTGTAGATTTGTCGTGATATAACTGTCTAATCTACAAAATCTCACGTGGAAGTCACATCATCGTCTACCCTGACTCATCGTATTGTAACAGTCGTCAATATACGATGAAGAGTACATTTAGGCTGAAGATAGAACAATTTATTAAACATGGATAACAACTATTTTATATAAGTATGACCACACTTGCATACCATACCATTCGATCAATCACTTAACTGAATTAATTTCTCACGCCTTCTCCATCGTAGGATTTCTCTCCTCGGTAAATGTTGAATATTTATTTTCCCAGTTGCCTCATGTTCAACTTTGGGGATTGTGTGGTTAGGGCCCAATGTCACTACAACTTCAATCCAACATATAGTACCTTCATCAATCCACCAGATAAATAAAATGTAGAAACTAGGGAGCTTCTGAAACCATATAACTTAAGTACGTGAATTTAATTAACCTAAATAGCTTAGAAGTCACATACCTTAAAGAACAACTAAGTCAGGTATCGGATGGACAGATTTACAATAAGGCTCCAAAATCTATAGTTGTGAGGAGCGTTATGTGCACAACATCTAGAAATCACAAGAGGCTATCGTCTACGTTAATCCTCAATGATCTACCAGAAAACATCTCATCAGTCCTCAACAACGTAGAAACATTATACTTCAAAAAGCTGTCACACTTGAACGGAATTCACAAGGACTCGAAAGGCGATTAATACCATAAAGTTTGATATTTAACTTCCAGAGTAGTTGAATGATTCCGTTTCAAGCTGCGGAGGCGAATCAGAAAGACTTCTTTCTCTTAGGTTAAAACCAATTAGGAAATGAAAGCACTGCAAAAGGCTGTTGCTTACAAAAAGGTTGGACATCAACAACGGATGTTAAAGAGATTTAGTAAAATCCTACCATTTCCCCCGCTTCGCACAGTAGCATCTATGTGTGCTGACTTTCTGAGCTTTATCTGACACTACATAATACACGCATCTACCTATACCTAACTTCATTACACATTCTCTGCTCAAAAGAGTAACGAATCCCTTGGAATAATCATAAGGCTACATCATGGAGTAAGTTGTAAGATTCGGCGATAACGTCCCAACCAGAGATCGTAATCATTAGGCCACAAGAGGATATGGCATTACGTGATGAGGATGCGAAATGGCTGCCATTAAACGCAACTCAATTTCGTAAATGTGGCCTTCAGCTTGGCAACCAATCAGAATGAAGCGGGAATTATTGTATCCGCCATCTTTGTAAGCAATGGCGGTCGGCCTTCTCCGTTCTGTGTTCTTTTCAGCTTTTTCTTTTGTGCAGCTACAGAATATAATGTTTCAGTGTGCTGAAATGCAGAAGTTAATGTAATAACCTGAATGTTGGAGCAAAAGTTTTCCTCGTTTTGCTTTGTTTTCTGGGTTTTGGCTGCTACTGCTACTGAAGTCAATGTATTTCTTCAGCCAAGCTGGCTAGTCTTATGTTTTAAAATGGTCATCGGTTTTTTATTAACTTGTTTTCTAGATATCCAAAGCCGAAGTTCGTTTTTTTAGCTGAAATAATTGTTGCTGCCGCCTGTGACTAACTGTCCGCATGTTCGTTCCTAACTGTCCTTTATGATGTCGTCGGCAAAATGAAATGAACCAATCTCCGGTTTTCAATTTTCTTCAGTACTATGGACAACACTATCCTGCCAACGAGTCAAACTAATACAGAATGCTCAGCAGTAGGGGATAACAGTATTGTTTTCGAAAGGACTCAGGCTTCTGATAAACATAGATGAAGTCACAGATGCCACCAATCTATTGTCGACGGTTTGTTATGAAAAATTTGCCCTATAGCAGTAATAGAAGGGTTTTACTCATTACGTTGTGCGTTAAAGCAAGGTTAACATTGAAAAGCGGGAAATCTGCTATCAGTGTGTAGTGTATGTTCGCTGTTTTGGTCATAAAAGGAAGCCGAAGGGTCATGATCAGGAAGTAAAAAGGTAATTAACTGTTGTTAGGCTCACTTTCTTATAGATCATATTTCACCACTCGCAAATCTGTTTTTTTACGGTATGTTGTCAACCGGTACATAATATGTTAACCCTTACGATGAAAAGTACCTGCAAATCTCACCTTCATATTCGAATTATTTTTGGACAACTGTCTTACAGTCTGAGTGCTTCGTACGCCCTGGGAGACTAGATTCCTACATTATTCGTAGTTCTAGTATAACTTTCTCACGCAGTAAGTTCAAAATAGATACTAGTCCTTCTAAATAAGCCTGTTAAGCTAATATCAGAATTCTCTATTTCAGTTAATCGATACATCTGCTGTATAGTGCTATTTTACTCTAATTCTAACTGTTATATCTTACTTCAGAAAAATAAAATTGCTACATGCAGCAAATACAGGCTTATTTGTTTTGATAAAGATAGGGGGTTCATGGCATTACTTGCTTATCATATGGCATTTGAATAAGGAGCTATAAGACCAGACGCAGGTACGGTTAGGATGTGTAACGCGTGTCCATCCATCAGCTGCCGTGACAACTCATGGTGGTTAGAATAAGTTATGAGGGGACCCGAGTCTGTAGGTTTCCAAAGAAAATGACTAAGATAAATACTAAATCACTTAAATTTACCACATACGAACTAGATACTGAGAGGCTCGTATATCACAAGTTTCTTGCAACGATTAAGTAGATAAAACAAAGTAGCATTAGATCTAAAAATTTATTCAGGAACTTTCATTAAGAATCGAATATCAAAGGTTTAGACGAAGTCCCCGTTTATAAGTTGCACTGATAATGTTAAGCTGCAGCTTTTTTTTCCAAACGAAGAGGTAAAACAAGTAACTTAAAAAGTACTGGAAGTGGTTGTAAGACTAAAACGAATATCCAGCATCCTTTTTATAATCTGCTGTTAGTTGGGTCTCCCGCAAACAGTTTCATAGGGCCATAGTTCTAAGGGCGAAACAATTGTTAGGATCTGTGAAGGCTCACTCCTCTTGCATTCTAAATGAGAAAACAGTAATGAATTAAGTCAGAAATGTGAAATAAATAAATAACCAAATTACATGTTTTTAGCAAAGAATTTATGCAGTTGTGATTTACTTTGAGTTTATAAATATTAGATCAAGTCAGCTACTATGACTTGTGCAAAGCATAACATGGACTTAGTACCGTATCGCAATGCTTTTATTATTTTGCTCCCATTTAAGTATTCCCATGCATCTGCGTCTAGTTTAACAGGAAGACATACAAGCAGAGTTAGTGTCTGATAAACTAAAAGTCCCAGTTGTCAAAAAGATTCTTAACATTTGTCTACAGCCTGCTGCATTTAATTGAGACACAGAAAACTCATCTTCTAAGACTGCATACTGCTCTTCTGCAGGCAAATAAAAGCTGACACTTAGCTATCCTGCTACCGATGTTATTGCTGGGGAAATTGTTTAATGACAGTGGTCTTGAAACATGAACAGTGTTAGACGTACTGCCTACAAATAAACAGCAAACGTACTTAAAGCTGTAGAGCCCAATAAAACCAAAACACGAAATATAGGCCATTTGAACTTACCTAACGGAAGACGAAGGATACATATTTATTGCTTTCAGACTGAAGAGAACAGTCAGTTGTTCAGAAAAGCATAGTCTACAGTACAACAAACATTTCTTCAGTAATATCATGCACTGACTGTCTATCTGGAAACAATAAACTATGTGATTAAACTAACTACGACTTGAGATATCATTCCAGCGTGCAATGAACGTACAGTGTAGCGCAGTCAGACGTGGCGAATAAAAATTAAAAACATGGCAAAATTAACAACACCACCTAGTTATTTAATTAAAAATACACTATGAAATGACAAATTCTGTGGTTACTTGAACGCACAGATGACCGTTATTACACTGGGCGATACATCAAGTTTACATGGTTGCGTTGCGGATAAATTCACCCTGAGAAACAATGCGTTTTTTAAGTCACCATAATAGAAATAACACATCGGGAGCACATAAGATTTTGGGGGTCAGTTGACAGTGAATTGCACAATAAGATGGGAATACCCATGTAAGATGACAGTTTTTCTCATAACAAGTCCGCCATATTTGGAAAGCCCTCCCAGTTGAAGTGGCTACAATCAACCCAGAGGAAACTCAACAACCATTTACGTGCTCATAGTTGAATGTCCTCTGCTTCTGACAACTGTTGACCATACGCACTCACTAAGAAATACGCTTTGTACTTATCAACATTTCTGCTCCATATCCCTTATTTTAATCATGATTATAATAATTTATTATTAGTAGTATGCCTCCATACCACCTCACCGCTTATCATTGCCATTCATCAATCGTTTTGTTTGTACATATCTACTGACGTATTTTCTTCATTTTTCGACAAGTTAAAAAGCTTGTTTATTTGCCTTGGATCCGTCTTCTGTCAGCTCCTTTTTATTTTGATTCTAACTTCTTCCATATAACAATAAATTACTCGTAAAGTGATAACTGCCGATTCTGGAAGCCATACCTGACCAGAACAAACAGACTCATTTATACTCACTGTAACGCCTCCAAATAACGATCGAATTTAATAGGATTAGCAATCTAGTGGCTGAACAATCCACATTGAAGGATATCGAAAACCTGAATCAATATGAGAAGGTAAACTCATAAGAGCTAATCAATTTTACACCAGTTCTTATGTAAATATATGGTGTTAGTAAACACGAGCATTTAATTGTTTTACTATATAAATGAATAGTTACTGGTGAGAAACATGGTTGCACATTTACAAATGATTGATGATGAACTATTCAGTCAGTTTGTCTTTCCCAACGGAGACTATTACGAAGGTCAGTACGCTATAAGAGATTCAGGAATTGTACGGCAAGGAAAAGGCAAATTTGTTGGTGATTTTAGAAAACGGATGTTAGATGTGACAATATCAAATTCACTTAGTCAATCGTATAGAAATTTGTCAGACATAAATCCTGAATGTAAAAACAAAAACGGTTCTGATGTTTCAGTGTTATGTGATTTATTTGGAGAAACGTTTCTTCATAAAGGATACTACTCAGGAGAATGGGTGAATGACAAAATTGAAGGATTTGGGAAAGTGAAATTTGCATCTGGATCTTATTATGAAGGCAGTTTTAAGGACAATAAGTTAGTCATTTTTTTACAATATCTGGAAGTTAAGTATTCACCGCGATGTTTTCTAGAAGTGAAGTTTGAATGCATATTATGTTCGAAATTAACATAAAACATTTTGTAGGATATCCTTAGTGTCTAGTTTCCAGAGCCAATGATAAGAGAACAAGTGACCTGTGTTGATCTGCAAGATCTCTAGTATTGCTAAAATCTAATTTCAGTTTGACTTTATCAACAAGTGGTTCAGACTCAGCATCGTCTCGTAGAAAATTCCAACGATAGGCAGCTCAGTCCAAAAGACGAAACTGCGAGTGTAAACTATTTGATGTTGGTCTTTAAACTCTCGAGAATAGTCAGACGCATCCTGTTTGTTGTGTGACGGTGTGGGTTATCACAATGAGTGATTTGCATCACCACACACTTATGATGATGTCACAGGTATTCAGTGTTTGACAACGCTTCTACCAGTAACACCTTCTAATATATTTCGTTCCCACCCAGAGAAATCAAAAGACAGAGTCGAGGAGATCGGAAGAGTATATTTGGCGATGACCAATATATCGGAATTCTCTGATCTAATCTGGCTAGCGATTGCGGTTGATGTTGAGCACGGCGTTACCACACGTGATCTGGTGCGGATGCCTGACCGAGCGCCTTCAGCTAGATGAGTCCACTAAAACATATGGTCAGCATCCAATGTCGAAAACTTACAGAGCTATTTATTTTAGGGATTTATTTACCGCTACAGATCACTCTCCCCCTAGTGGGGCAGTGATGTCCCTAAGACGTGGCCAGCCAGAAGTTTAAACCCAACGACTTTGTCGTTGGTAAACACTCTTCTGATAGCTTACTAAGTGTAGCAGCGTCTGGTCGTCTTTCCTTACTATATGGGACGGAGGTACAACATAGTAAAAAAAAGAAAATGTACAATGAAAAGCTCGGATCCTCATAAACGTCATCGTTCTTTTCCAGCCGTCCTGGAAAAGAAAAAAGAAAATGTAAGTGCATGTCGAAAGTACACTCGTATGTGCGTAAAAACACAATGTCGGCGGATAAAAAATGGAAAATAAACTCATGAACACGTAATAGCGTTAAAAAATTGTTTTTTTTGTTTTGTTTTTTTTAAAAATAGAAATTAAAATATATAAGCATATTAAAATTGTTTTTTGTTTTTTAAAAAAAAATAATATAAAATGTCGAGAAGTGCCTTACGTGCAATAGTCGTTTAAATGTTCTGGAAATCTCACCCTTCTTCCAGAACGCGTCGTTTTAAGTTTATTTTCGGATACTGTCGAAGTATCATCGTGTGTGTTGGTTGTCGGATGAGGTATTATAAGTGTCGGAGTCGTGTCGTTCGATTGTACCGAAGGAAGATCCACGTAGATAGGATTTCCTTCTAAATACGCTGCTTTTAAGCGATCGATGCTGATGCTATCGTTGGTTCCGTTCTTATCGACTATATAGTACTTAGATTCACGTTGAAGAACTTTGAAGGGTCCTTCGTATGCTGATTCGAATGGTCGTCGATGCGAGTCTCGACGAATGAAAACGTGTGTACTATATCGTAAGTCAGGTTGACGGTCGTATGATTCCTAAATCCATCATGTGATCGAATTCGTTTTTCGCTAACCTTAGCTTTTCAGGAGCTAGTCGTCGTGCTTTAGAGAATACAGGTGGTCCTGTAGTCGTGATGTGATGTGTAACGTTGCTGGTTACACACGGTAGTTTCGGTTGAGTTTGTTGTATTCCAGGGTACTTATCTAGTAGTGGTTGATAGAGTGGGTCTATCATATGCTTAACTGTGACTGGGGATACTCTGCAGCCAGTAAAAGAAGTTACGCAAACGGACAAATTAGTGTTTCCGTCTACTAGCCTCCGTTTGCGAGTGTCGATGATCAGATTGTGGTGTTGTAGAAGGTCCATACCAATGATTGGTATAGAAACATCTGCAACAACGAAAATCCAGTGGATGGGTTTGCGTAAACCCACGTTAAGGTAAACGTACCTTTTGCCATACGTAGCGATCTGTTTTCCGTTTGCCGCCTGTAAGTTTACAGCCGATTCTTGAAGCCGATCGTTGGGATTCGCTGGGAGAACGCTAACTTCTGCGCCAGTATCGACGAGGTAGCGAACTCTCGTTGTCACATCTGTGACGTATAACAGACGGCTATGTTCGCCGGCTACGGTTGCCGTTAACGCGTGCCGGCTTGGAAGTTTCCCGAATTGTTTTTCGAATCAGTCGGTTTCGTGTTGGGAAAATTGCAGGGTTTTCTGCAATTTCTGGAAAACTTTCCATACTGGTTATGATACCAGCACCAGTCGGGGTTATCCGTCTCTCGTGGTCTAGAGACAGATCGCTTACGAGAAATGCTTCTACGTGGTGTGCGCGATCTCTTACGGTCGGTACGAAGACTAAGATAACGCGTGAGTGTGTGACATAAGTCGGTTATATCGTTCTGAGTCGTGTGAGGCTTTTCTTTGACTGAAAATACCTCGGCAGTAGATTTCGTAATTTCTAGAATGCGGTCGGCAGATGCAGCTAGCTCGTCTAAGCCGTTGTTCTGGAACGAGACCAGAACTGCTTGCACCTGTTGGGGAAGTTTTGACAAGAAGAGTTGTTTGAATAGACCTTCGTCGAAAGTTCTTAGGCCTATAACCTCTCTCATCCGTTGCAACATGTCTGTCGCAGAACCGTGTTTCAGGTCGATGTTATTGAAGAGTTGATCTAACCTTTGTCGATCGGTTAGATCTCCTCGTTTAAGAATCGAGCGTTTTAAGATTTCGTAAGGGTCGGAAACATCACTAGTAAACATACTAGGTGTCACGTACCTGTTGAATTCGCGCGGAAGTGCCTTGACTACTGCGAGGAATTGTGCACGTGTGTCGATCACGCTGTGCTCGGAGAAGTCGGCTTCTGCGTAGCAAAACCAGGCTTCGATGTTGTCGGGCCAGAAAGGCATCAGTTGAAACGAAGGTGGGGACAAAGTCTTAAGCTTGAGTACTTTAGGTGTCTGTTCAGTCATGATGAAATATTAAGTATGATAATGAACGAGGGGAAAATATATATATCCAAGAAAAAGCACGAAAAAAAATCACAATGTTTAAAAAAAAATAAAAAATAAGGCAATGATATATAAAAATCCCAAAAAGGAACAGACTCACAGTTGCAATAAGGTGTACCAGATCACGTCGGTTTCACCAATGATGATGTCACAGGTATTCAGTGTTTGACAACGCTTCTACCAGTAACACCTTCTAATATATTTCGTTCCCACCCAGAGAAATCAAAAGACAGAGTCGAGGAGATCGGAAGAGTATATTTGGCGATGACCAATATATCGGAATTCTCTGATCTAATCTGGCTAGCGATTGCGGTTGATGTTGAGCACGGCGTTACCACACGTGATCTGGTGCGGATGCCTGACCGAGCGCCTTCAGCTAGATGAGTCCACTAAAACATATGGTCAGCATCCAATGTCGAAAACTTACAGAGCTATTTATTTTAGGGATTTATTTACCGCTACAGATCACTCTCCCCCTAGTGGGGCAGTGATGTCCCTAAGACGTGGCCAGCCAGAAGTTTAAACCCAACGACTTTGTCGTTGGTAAACACTCTTCTGATAGCTTACTAAGTGTAGCAGCGTCTGGTCGTCTTTCCTTACTATATGGGACGGAGGTACAACATAGTAAAAAAAAGAAAATGTACAATGAAAAGCTCGGATCCTCATAAACGTCATCGTTCTTTTCCAGCCGTCCTGGAAAAGAAAAAAGAAAATGTAAGTGCATGTCGAAAGTACACTCGTATGTGCGTAAAAACACAATGTCGGCGGATAAAAAATGGAAAATAAACTCATGAACACGTAATAGCGTTAAAAAATTGTTTTTTTTTGTTTTGTTTTTTTTTAAAAATAGAAATTAAAATATATAAGCATATTAAAATTGTTTTTTGTTTTTTTAAAAAAAATAATATAAAATGTCGAGAAGTGCCTTACGTGCAATAGTCGTTTAAATGTTCTGGAAATCTCACCCTTCTTCCAGAACGCGTCGTTTTAAGTTTATTTTCGGATACTGTCGAAGTATCATCGTGTGTGTTGGTTGTCGGATGAGGTATTATAAGTGTCGGAGTCGTGTCGTTCGATTGTACCGAAGGAAGATCCACGTAGATAGGATTTCCTTCTAAATACGCTGCTTTTAAGCGATCGATGCTGATGCTATCGTTGGTTCCGTTCTTATCGACTATATAGTACTTAGATTCACGTTGAAGAACTTTGAAGGGTCCTTCGTATGCTGATTCGAATGGTCGTCGATGCGAGTCTCGACGAATGAAAACGTGTGTACTATATCGTAAGTCAGGTTGACGGTCGTATGATTCCTAAATCCATCATGTGATCGAATTCGTTTTTCGCTAACCTTAGCTTTTCAGGAGCTAGTCGTCGTGCTTTAGAGAATACAGGTGGTCCTGTAGTCGTGATGTGATGTGTAACGTTGCTGGTTACACACGGTAGTTTCGGTTGAGTTTGTTGTATTCCAGGGTACTTATCTAGTAGTGGTTGATAGAGTGGGTCTATCATATGCTTAACTGTGACTGGGGATACTCTGCAACCAGTAAAAGAAGTTACGCAAACGGACAAATTAGTGTTTCCGTCTACTAGCCTCCGTTTGCGAGTGTCGATGATCAGATTGTGGTGTTGTAGAAGGTCCATACCAATGATTGGTATAGAAACATCTGCAACAACGAAAATCCAGTGGATGGGTTTGCGTAAACCCACGTTAAGGTAAACGTACCTTTTGCCATACGTAGCGATCTGTTTTCCGTTTGCCGCCTGTAAGTTTACAGCCGATTCTTGAAGCCGATCGTTGGGATTCGCTGGGAGAACGCTAACTTCTGCGCCAGTATCGACGAGGTAGCGAACTCTCGTTGTCACATCTGTGACGTATAACAGACGGCTATGTTCGCCGGCTACGGTTGCCGTTAACGCGTGCCGGCTTGGAAGTTTCCCGAATTGTTTTTCGAATCAGTCGGTTTCGTGTTGGGAAAATTGCAGGGTTTTCTGCAATTTCTGGAAAACTTTCCATACTGGTTATGATACCAGCACCAGTCGGGGTTATCCGTCTCTCGTGGTCTAGAGACAGATCGCTTACGAGAAATGCTTCTACGTGGTGTGCGCGATCTCTTACGGTCGGTACGAAGACTAAGATAACGCGTGAGTGTGTGACATAAGTCGGTTATATCGTTCTGAGTCGTGTGAGGCTTTTCTTTGACTGAAAATACCTCGGCAGTAGATTTTGTAATTTCTAGAATGCGGTCGGCAGATGCAGCTAGCTCGTCTAAGCCGTTGTTCTGGAACGAGACCAGAACTGCTTGCACCTGTTGGGGAAGTTTTGACAAGAAGAGTTGTTTGAATAGACCTTCGTCGAAAGTTCTTAGGCCTATAACCTCTCTCATCCGTTGCAACATGTCTGTCGCAGAACCGTGTTTCAGGTCGATGTTATTGAAGAGTTGATCTAACCTTTGTCGATCGGTTAGATCTCCTCGTTTAAGAATCGAGCGTTTTAAGATTTCGTAAGGGTCGGAAACATCACTAGTAAACATACTAGGTGTCACGTACCTGTTGAATTCGCGCGGAAGTGCCTTGACTACTGCGAGGAATTGTGCACGTGTGTCGATCACGCTGTGCTCGGAGAAGTCGGCTTCTGCGTAGCAAAACCAGGCTTCGATGTTGTCGGGCCAGAAAGGCATCAGTTGAAACGAAGGTGGGGACAAAGTCTTAAGCTTGAGTACTTTAGGTGTCTGTTCAGTCATGATGAAATATTAAGTATGATAATGAACGAGGGGAAAATATATATATCCAAGAAAAAGCACGAAAAAAAAATCACAATGTTTAAAAAAAAATAAAAAATAAGGCAATGATATATAAAAATCCCAAAAAGGAACAGACTCACAGTTGCAATAAGGTGTACCAGATCACGTCGGTTTCACCAATGATGATGTCACAGGTATTCAGTGTTTGACAACGCTTCTACCAGTAACACCTTCTAATATATTTCGTTCCCACCCAGAGAAATCAAAAGACAGAGTCGAGGAGATCGGAAGAGTATATTTGGCGATGACCAATATATCGGAATTCTCTGATCTAATCTGGCTAGCGATTGCGGTTGATGTTGAGCACGGCGTTACCACACGTGATCTGGTGCGGATGCCTGACCGAGCGCCTTCAGCTAGATGAGTCCACTAAAACATATGGTCAGCATCCAATGTCGAAAACTTACAGAGCTATTTATTTTAGGGATTTATTTACCGCTACAGATCACTCTCCCCCTAGTGGGGCAGTGATGTCCCTAAGACGTGGCCAGCCAGAAGTTTAAACCCAACGACTTTGTCGTTGGTAAACACTCTTCTGATAGCTTACTAAGTGTAGCAGCGTCTGGTCGTCTTTCCTTACTATATGGGACGGAGGTACAACATAGTAAAAAAAAGAAAATGTACAATGAAAAGCTCGGATCCTCATAAACGTCATCGTTCTTTTCCAGCCGTCCTGGAAAAGAAAAAAGAAAATGTAAGTGCATGTCGAAAGTACACTCGTATGTGCGTAAAAACACAATGTCGGCGGATAAAAAATGGAAAATAAACTCATGAACACGTAATAGCGTTAAAAAATTGTTTTTTTTTTGTTTTGTTTTTTTTTTTAAAAATAGAAATTAAAATATATAAGCATATTAAAATTGTTTTTTGTTTTTTAAAAAAAAATAATATAAAATGTCGAGAAGTGCCTCACGTGCAATAGTCGTTTAAATGTTCTGGAAATCTCACCCTTCTTCCAGAACGCGTCGTTTTAAGTTTATTTTCGGATACTGTCGAAGTATCATCGTGTGTGTTGGTTGTCGGATGAGGTATTATAAGTGTCGGAGTCGTGTCGTTCGATTGTACCGAAGGAAGATCCACGTAGATAGGATTTCCTTCTAAATACGCTGCTTTTAAGCGATCGATGCTGATGCTATCGTTGGTTCCGTTCTTATCGACTATATAGTACTTAGATTCACGTTGAAGAACTTTGAAGGGTCCTTCGTATGCTGATTCGAATGGTCGTCGATGCGAGTCTCGACGAATGAAAACGTGTGTACTATATCGTAAGTCAGGTTGACGGTCGTATGATTCCTAAATCCATCATGTGATCGAATTCGTTTTTCGCTAACCTTAGCTTTTCAGGAGCTAGTCGTCGTGCTTTAGAGAATACAGGTGGTCCTGTAGTCGTGATGTGATGTGTAACGTTGCTGGTTACACACGGTAGTTTCGGTTGAGTTTGTTGTATTCCAGGGTACTTATCTAGTAGTGGTTGATAGAGTGGGTCTATCATATGCTTAACTGTGACTGGGGATACTCTGCAGCCAGTAAAAGAAGTTACGCAAACGGACAAATTAGTGTTTCCGTCTACTAGCCTCCGTTTGCGAGTGTCGATGATCAGATTGTGGTGTTGTAGAAGGTCCATACCAATGATTGGTATAGAAACATCTGCAACAACGAAAATCCAGTGGATGGGTTTGCGTAAACCCACGTTAAGGTAAACGTACCTTTTGCCATACGTAGCGATCTGTTTTCCGTTTGCCGCCTGTAAGTTTACAGCCGATTCTTGAAGCCGATCGTTGGGATTCGCTGGGAGAACGCTAACTTCTGCGCCAGTATCGACGAGGTAGCGAACTCTCGTTGTCACATCTGTGACGTATAACAGACGGCTATGTTCGCCGGCTACGGTTGCCGTTAACGCGTGCCGGCTTGGAAGTTTCCCGAATTGTTTTTCGAATCAGTCGGTTTCGTGTTGGGAAAATTGCAGGGTTTTCTGCAATTTCTGGAAAACTTTCCATACTGGTTATGATACCAGCACCAGTCGGGGTTATCCGTCTCTCGTGGTCTAGAGACAGATCGCTTACGAGAAATGCTTCTACGTGGTGTGCGCGATCTCTTACGGTCGGTACGAAGACTAAGATAACGCGTGAGTGTGTGACATAAGTCGGTTATATCGTTCTGAGTCGTGTGAGGCTTTTCTTTGACTGAAAATACCTCGGCAGTAGATTTTGTAATTTCTAGAATGCGGTCGGCAGATGCAGCTAGCTCGTCTAAGCCGTTGTTCTGGAACGAGACCAGAACTGCTTGCACCTGTTGGGGAAGTTTTGACAAGAAGAGTTGTTTGAATAGACCTTCGTCGAAAGTTCTTAGGCCTATAACCTCTCTCATCCGTTGCAACATGTCTGTCGCAGAACCGTGTTTCAGGTCGATGTTATTGAAGAGTTGATCTAACCTTTGTCGATCGGTTAGATCTCCTCGTTTAAGAATCGAGCGTTTTAAGATTTCGTAAGGGTCGGAAACATCACTAGTAAACATACTAGGTGTCACGTACCTGTTGAATTCGCGCGGAAGTGCCTTGACTACTGCGAGGAATTGTGCACGTGTGTCGATCACGCTGTGCTCGGAGAAGTCGGCTTCTGCGTAGCAAAACCAGGCTTCGATGTTGTCGGGCCAGAAAGGCATCAGTTGAAACGAAGGTGGGGACAAAGTCTTAAGCTTGAGTACTTTAGGTGTCTGTTCAGTCATGATGAAATATTAAGTATGATAATGAACGAGGGGAAAATATATATATCCAAGAAAAAGCACGAAAAAAAATCACAATGTTTAAAAAAAAATAAAAAATAAGGCAATGATATATAAAAATCCCAAAAAGGAACAGACTCACAGTTGCAATAAGGTGTACCAGATCACGTCGGTTTCACCAATGATGATGTCACAGGTATTCAGTGTTTGACAACGCTTCTACCAGTAACACCTTCTAATATATTTCGTTCCCACCCAGAGAAATCAAAAGACAGAGTCGAGGAGATCGGAAGAGTATATTTGGCGATGACCAATATATCGGAATTCTCTGATCTAATCTGGCTAGCGATTGCGGTTGATGTTGAGCACGGCGTTACCACACGTGATCTGGTGCGGATGCCTGACCGAGCGCCTTCAGCTAGATGAGTCCACTAAAACATATGGTCAGCATCCAATGTCGAAAACTTACAGAGCTATTTATTTTAGGGATTTATTTACCGCTACACTTACTAGTATTCACTTTTGACAACCGATTTTTCGACCTATCCATCCCCCTGTTTAGTCGATTTTGTTATATCTATTGTTTACAGATGTTCATGCTTTGACGTCAGCCCCATAATACAGAATGATTAGTCTTGAGAAATCTGGGTAAATACTATGAGTTAGATGAAAAAGGATGGGGCGTAGAGTGTCTCTTTGTATAACTCTAATCATCACACATTTTCGTAATGATAACGTATAGTTTACTGTTATGGATTGTCTATCATTGTTGAGAAATGTACTTAATTGCGTAACTTTCCATGTTTACTCGAGGACCCAGTTGAGGAATAATATTTTGAAGGCTTTACTAGGGCAAATGAAAATGATATTTGCTAAAATTTTCTACCTTTGTTTGCAGTCCGATACTCCGTCGTATTAAAGATGTTAGGGAAACTCAATATACCTGCTCTTAAACCTCGTCTCTTTGTCAAGACAATATTTCTTTCCACGCAATGTGAAATAACAGCACGAATATTTTTTTAATTAGTTAACAAAAATATTTTTGTGATATTTTATTTGGTGGAAAGGCTTATTTCTGATGTTTCGTGATTTGATGTAATTTACTTCTTTAAAATCAACAAGTAACCGAAATAAAATCAACACAAGTTTAAGTCGTACCAAGGAAAGAAAGCAATATATTTTAAGCACAGTCAAAATCACACTAGATCTGTATGTGTCGGTGTTATGTCCTTTATTTCAAGGTGATTCTGTATGACTTACCGCTGTATTCATGTGTATGAAAAATGTGTGTTTTGTAATATGAGATAGTGGGGCTTAATTTATATGTGCAGATCGTGTTGAAAATTTGTAGAACCAAATGTTGCCGTTGGATAAACAGTCCAAGTAGGATGAATAGTTAGGTCTTCTTTCCTATCAAAGGACAAAGGATTTATCATTAAATGAAACGCTTTGACTACTCGCCTCTCTTCATGGTTAGATATACATTTATGAAGTTTGTCAACACTTTTCCAATATTATTATGTCTATCAACGAAAATAGCACATACTGTTTCTGCCGATTTAATTTGTAAATATTTAATATTTAGAACACTTTTTAACTAAATAGTCTAAAAATGGTAGTTCACAACGTTCACCTTCCTTTTCAAAAGTGAAGTTGACGTTTTTTGTAACGTGTTTATTAGTTTAGAGAAATTTCTAAGGAAAGTCTTTTCAATAATGACAAGTGTGTTATCTATATATCTGAGCCAGATGTGTGATCTGATGGTACTTGCAAAAATAAGCAAATTGATATATAATATAAATAAATAAACAACAACCGGTGCTTCCTGTTTTGCAGTGATGGTCAAGCTTATACAGACCAAGAAAATAAATATTTAACTAATATATATATATATATCCCTATTAAGTGAATAGCGTTGAATTCAAGCATAGTTTGAGGGATTTCATGATTAAACTAATGGTTAATTGACATATGCTAGATAAGTTATTGTCATTCTCTTAAAAATCATCAACAAATTCAAGATATCAATCATTTGGAGTTCTTGCGCATAGAGACACATCGTCACACCTTACTACCTTTTACTTCATGTTGATAGATAATTCCGAGGTCGTCAGTTTAAATTAATATGAATTCTTTACGATACTATTTAATTTATTTTAAAGTAACTTTACTATATTGTATAAATATTTAGGTAAAACACATGTGGAGGTATTTTAAAGCTCACTATTGGTATTAAAACGTTCCCATGTTTGTGAATTTCCGGTATCCCTCAGAAACGTGATGTGATATGGATTCAAACTATAAAGCAAACCATAGGGAGACCCAGATGATAGGCTTTAGTCCTGCCAAAATTCTACTTGTATCTGACCTAAATTTATTTGTAACTTTTCAAAAAGTTTTGGATCTCTCCGCTAAATCCACTAAGGCCTCTAATTACACGGTCGAGATACGCACAAAACCAAAGTTCGTACAACAGTGATTTGTTTAAAAAGCGGTTCTTTATTGAGGAATATATATAGTTACGCTAGATGGTTTATTTCTTCACTTTAAGCCTTCAGTTCTCAAAAATTTCACCATTACAGATAGAAGAAATGCCTTACACTTTTCTAATATTAGTAGTTAAATAACGAAAATCCGGTATAAATCATAAAATTAATGACTTTTGCTTTTTATTTAGAATTTTTTTTGAGTCATTAACATTTTTTTCTAAATAGATGTATCTTTCAAATTAGGAGTTTAGTAGAAATTCAAATCATGCGAGGCGAGCTCATGGATGCGCACTTTTTAAGAGGCCCATAATAGGACGAAACGGCTGTCCGGTGCTTCCAGGTTTTTTATGGTGGTCTAGCTTCAATTGACTCATGATTTCAACTATAGAAATATATCAGAAGGGGTTTTGTGGAGATTTTAGTAATTTGATAGTCGAATTTACGAGTCAATTAAAGCTAGACTACCATGGAAAACCTGGAAGCACTGGAAGGCCGTTTCGTCCGACTGTGGGATTCCTCAACAGTGCACATCCACGATTCCGCCCGCCGCAAGATTCGGACCCAGGATCTATCAGTCTCGCGCGCGAGCGCCTAACCATTATAAATTTATTTATTTATTTTTCATATTGTTTAAATAATCTTTTAATATTTTTTTTATTTTTATAGAATGGATGGTTTAGGTACATATTTTTGGCCAAGTGGTCATATATTAAAAGCACAATTTGAACAAAATAATATTCAAGAAAATTCCTTAATTGAATTAATTGATCCAGATGGTAAACAATGGACTGGACAATTTAAACGAAATTCTCAACAAAAATTAACTTTCAATGAAAATGATAAATGTTTAAATGAAACTCAATTGTTTTTTAATTTAAATGAATATTAACAAAAAAATTAATTCAATAAATTTAATTTAAAATTTTTATCTTTTTAATTTTATTTTCAAAATAATAATGAAATAGTTACTTTGGAAACATCGTTTTTCAAATTATTTTAGGATGAATTTACTGAGAATTTTGAAGTGGATAGTAACTATTTGAATGAATTACCATTTTATGAATCTTTATTTACTGGTCAGTAAATTTGTAAGAAAATAATAATAATAACATAATTACATGTATATTGAGTTGTTAAGTTATTCAATTATTTAATCTTCAATTTTTATTCATTTTAATGGGAATTTATTTCAATTAATCAACTTGATCAGCTTGAAGATCACTGTATAAACTTGTGTTTAGTAAACGAGTTAGAGAATTATATAATAGGGATAAAAGAATAATACATAGTTCTGACCGGTACATTCATTTATAAATAACTCAAAGAATTGTTGAAATTTGAGCAAGATCATATAATTATTTCATTTAAATTTTAGTCATTTAAGTGCTGTAAGACTTCGTTTTGTCAAAGTTGGAACCAGAAATTTTTAAGTATGTAAACCATTATTTTCCATAAACTCCAGCTAGTAAGCAAAAACGTCACACTGTAAGTGATTTGCTTAGTTACTGAACTAAGAAGATTCTTTTTTTAAAAAAAAATTAGATACTACACGTTGACATTGCTCACTTTGATCCCCTTTAATGTAATCAAATATATTAAGGATTTATTACAAGTACTATTGAATGATTTAAAAAGCAGTCTGAAGGCAGAGACAATTTGTTAGTGTACAACTTTAATGATTGTCCTAAGATAAAAATTTAAGGAAAATATAGTGAGAACATTTTTGATAACAGAACGATTAAAAAATGTAAGAGAGATATGAACACAAAGAGGATATGATAATGAAGTTTGGTTGTATATAATAATTCTTATCTGCTAAACTATGTAATATGAGATATTACTGAGTTATTTTAGATGATAAATACGACTCTGGAATGATAACAATCCAGACAGCTTTTTTATTGTTGTTGTTGTTTCTTTAAGCTATTTTCAAATAAGACAAAATATTACAACCAAATCTAGTTCAATTCATGAGTAGAAGTTTATGTAAAAGAAAAGAAGATTAAATTGGCTTTTACATTAGTCTAATCTGTATCATACGTTCTATTTTAATAGATTTTGAAGTGATCAACAAAGAATTGGAAGAAACCAATCAATTATTTGATTACATTATTAAAGAAAATGAATCGCCTTGTACAATACAAGCTGAACAAATAAAAATTAAAGAAAATTTAAAAATTACCAAGGGTAAAAAGTATATCCAATTATTGGATATGATATTGAATAGTAAATTAAAGGAAGAAAAAGAAGTATGAATTCATTTACCTATTTATAAATACAATTTTATTTATTTACTATAACTAAACTTTATTCAGTAGTTCTATTTAGATTTAGATCATTCAAACTTAGTAAAGAAAAACTTTTTCTGTATCGCATATCAAATCTTTTTCAAGTGTTTTCATTATCTATGTTATGATCTTCAGGTGTCAACTCCTAATGATTTTGTTCAAAATTCAAGTGTTTCCATAGATGGAAGTATGATCTTTTGATGACGGTAAATTCCAACATTAAGCAAACAAAACTACCCTACTCTCCCTGTTGTTAAACTGATTGGTGGAAGGTTTCTCAAGTTGTTTGGTTTCTTGAGAAAAAATCAAATTAACTGACACATTTCAGTCAGGCATTCAATAACTCAATAAATTGATGATATAATCTCACCTGAGTGTATCTAGATTTTGCTCACATTACTCTCGCGCTAGCCAATATGATTTACTTAATCAAAATTCTTGCCCCTCGTGAGGGATAGGGTGTTGACTATGGATCTCTAACAAACTCTGTCCTGGACTGTCTTTCTCATTTGATTTTAACTACTATTTATGGTACTGATGTCTCCCACCAATTCCTGGCTCATGTGTTCTTTGGTTTAATTTTTTCTTTTACCTTGAGGATTCCAGGTTTAGGTTTGCCTTGTGATGCAGTTTAATGGTATCCGTAAAGTGTGTCCTATCCTAATCCGACATCTTTTTCGGATTTCCTTCTCAAATGGGAGTTGGTTCGTTCTCTTCCTCAGTAAATTATTTGTGATGGTCTCTGGTCGATGGATCTGTAGTATCTTACATAGACAGCTGTTTAAAAATGCTCATACTATTTTAGTGATGGTAATTTTCCAGGTCCAGATCCCTAAAATAGATCTGCTTTAACATCAGTGTCGAAAATTCTGTCTTTGTTGTCGGCTGACAGTGGTATTTTTCGTGAAGTTAGACTTTGCTGTCCAAATTCTATTCAATGGGTCCCATTCTCTTCAAACATTTCCGTATCAGGTCGTCCCATTTCATTCGCTAGTTAAATGACGTTCTCAGAACTCCACATTGTTTAAACGTTCCGTGTTCCCATATTAATTGTTGACCAGAGGAATAGAAAAAGTATAAGCCCTGTGACTTTCGAAGATTTTCGGCTTTCTCCATGAGGCATCAAAAATTCTATTTTAAGCCTTTCTCTTCGCAGAGTAGAGATTGTCTATTTTTTTCTGGTCAGTGACTTTGTAGCTGTTATAATCTATTTTTCTTACGTTATGACCCAGCTATTCCTATTGCTAGTATTCTCGAACACCAGTACACTCGACAAGTCCCCAAATCAGAACACGGTTAAACAGGAAAGAGATTATATTCCAAATAACAAGGTTAGATGGAAGCAAGAAGCAAGTTAGAAGCACAATAGAGAAAGCGTTAGCATGTTTATAGTTTTTACATGAGAAGATTCCAGAGTATTCCCCAAGTATCGACTAGTGCTGATTGTATAAGAATTAGCCAATCAGCGTGCACCAACGCAATCGTGCATTTAGCATGCTTTAATCCAGTCTATATCGCGCTAACAGTAGCCAAGTTCCTTTTTTACGAGATGAAGTTAGTCCTTTACCGGGCTTTGAGATTGGCAGTGTCCTTCGGTTGGCTTCAGACGTAGTTACTGGCCATCATTAAAAACAATCAAACACCACTCTTAAAATAGTAAAACTACAGAACATATTCTAAAGTCATTATTTTTATTATTTACATTGAGGTTAAAGAAAATACTCGAATTTTACACAAACAAATTGAAAATGAACTAAATGATTTGATAAATTCAAATAAAAAATTTAAAACATCTAAACAAATCAATCAAATAGAAAATACAAAACAAAACTCAAATCAAATTGTACTAGTAGATACTATTGAAAAGTTCAATACTTTTCCAGATGAAATTTGTCGAAATATTGAAAAGTTTTTACAATTAAATGATAAATCATTATCACAAAATAATAACACAGGTAATTCAAATATCATATTTTGTTGTTGTTGTTGCTGTTGTTGTTGATGTTGATAAACCATCCTAGAAGAGTTTCTTCTTTTCTGTGTACTGTTGCAATGTAAAGTGGACAAATAAAAACTAGATCTATAGAAGTAGGTTAAAGGTTACTGGTGAAGTTTGAAAAATAAAATCTGAATAATTCAGAGCCCAACTAACTTAATGATGAGAAATACTTTCGATAAATCTCTACTTCTTTCTTAACTAACTAAATGATATTTTTCATTATTTTATGAACTGGATAGCAACACAACTGTATCTAATTTACTAGAATAACTATTAGGTCTAACTTACCTGTTAGGATAATAAAACCTTTTTCACCTTCACGTAAAAACATCTATTAAGGTGTGTATTTTCGCTTTGTTAATATTTATGACTAAAACTGAACAATTTCTGTTGGAATATATGTATCCTGATCGGATGATCTCGATATTACCAATTAGTCACAAATTTTTATTAAAGTTGGTTTATACAACTGATGAATCTTAAACAGGACCAAATGCATGTGTTGGATAACACTGCAAGTTACTATCTAGTTATATAAGAACTTGTAATTCAACGGCAATATCGAGGTATTGAGCTTGGAATCCACAAATACCAAAAAAAATAAAGCAAAAATACAACCTCTTATAAATAAAATTCACATTCATTGTAAAAATAAATAGATGCCTGGGATCAGTAGCTCAGAGAATAATGCTTTGGTATTTGATGAGATGTATACTGGGTTTGATCCTCAAAGTAAGCATCAGCACAGATGTTAATAAGTTCATTTAACTTACTCCAAACAGGTGTAAACTCACTTCTAGGATTACACTCGTAGGCACCATTCAACTTCAAATGACGTAGTATTCAATACCTGGAAAGAAGTTTCATTAGGAGTGTTCATTGTCTGCCTTGTTTTCTGATATTTTACAGACTTAATTAACGCAAACTTAACATTCAATAAACCTCAGTGTGTCGTTAACATGAATATCCATCATTTCATATGAAGCATTATTAGTAAATTTATAGATTGATATTAACTAGGTGATTTATCATATGCGCTCACTGATGAAGAAAACTCTAAAATCACCAATCGACTATTAAAATGAAAAGGCTGGGAGTCAGAAATATAGTTTATCGACTAAACGATATATATATATATCAGAAAATCAATACACCGATAGTGTATGTACCATCCATTAGAAACAAAAGCCATTTCTTCGCTAAGCTCATGCAACTATTATTTGTCAAATTTTCTATTTCCTTCATGTGTAAGAATTGTATATCATTCTAAGCTAAGATCTACTCTGTGCACAATGCATTTTTTGCAATTCATACATTGGACTGAAATTCACTTGCCAGTTTTTATTAACTCAAGTTAATTTGTTATTTAATATTATCATCTTCTAAAAACCATTAATATCTTCAATTTATTTACAAGTCCATGTAAGCGTAAAATACAAACAAATACAAAGTCTGTCTGAAATTCATTTTAATTCGGTCCAGTTAGCTCGTGATGTCACAATGAGACATGATCTCCACATATTAGGTGTAAACTATTTTTATTAGATGTAAGAATATTTTTCCAGGTATTATAGTTGTGATTTTATGATTTATCCAGTGAGGAACAAAATCAACAATGATTCCCATCAAAATAACATTAAAACAAATGATTTGGATGAAGAGATAACCTCTAAATCCATCTTTAAAACAGAGTACATCAAAGAATGTCAAACGAATGAGGAAAAAAAAAGAGAAGACAGAATGAACAAACTACTTGACCAAGGTAAATATTTCAATCTCAATGAAAAATTACTTTCAAAACTATGTAAAATCGCTTTTTGTCAACATGTATGATAATAGACCCTCTAAGTATTATTTATACCACTGAATAAATAATAAGTAACATAACATAGTCCGTAAAAATAATTGGGGAGATGATAGGTTACGCTAAGTATGTGATGTATAGTAAATAAGAATGGTTCACATAGGCGACTTCATTTTCGAAATCACACCATAGCAAATATTTACACTGTTCGACATAAAATTACATAATTTATTGCTTAACAATGATCAATTTACATAATATGATAACAAAGAATTTAACATTCCAAAGGAGAAGCTTTTATACAGTGACTCAACTGAAGTGTTATGAAACCTGAAAAAAACTAGTCAAGAGTGTCATAGAAGCTAAATTAAGATTTATAATTATTAAAATCCGTTGTATATGATCCCAATCATGTAAAGAAAACTAATTCTAATAGGATAAGTTATAGAAACAATGAATTATCGTTTCGGGACAATAATTTAACGACGTATTGAAAGAGAAGAGATGATTTTCAAGACCATTCACTGCGACCATTGTAAGTGAAAAAGTTTAATGCATATTTTCCTATTCACAAAATTGAGGGTCATTGTGGTTTTGAAAGGAAAATATCTGAACCGTGCAACGAAGTCGAAAGTGTACTGTAGCCAGAGCATCTCTACTCGCCTTATATTTGATTCCGAATATTGAGTCTGTTTTGAATGAATACACTAAGTTGGAAGATGCTCTGTATAAGCATTTCTTATCCGTTCATGTCTAGTATCAGTTTTTAACCGCTTTAGATAAGATTAATATCGAATTACTATTGTGTTCAACTTCATAGGAAATCTTGTTTACACTAATATTTGGTAGTTTCATGTTGTGGTGGTAACTGTTACAACTGTAATAAAAACTGACCAGGTTTAATTGTAGCATCCTATCTCATAATAAATATCTACGTATTACAATGATTATTGTCTCACAACGAAAAAATATTAATGAGACTAAGATAAATGAAGAGTGATTTGAATGGTCGGTTAGTGGACCTAACTCGGTAAATCGAAGTTGCTCATTGGTAACGTCAACGGCTGTAAAAGCGAGCAGCATTATTTCGAGACCGATGGAAAATCAGTTTTCTCTGTGCTAAGTCTCCTTCCTCTCAAAAAGGAAGCGGAACTTTGCATTTACTGATTAAATTTATCCACTACCGAAGTCTAAATTTCATGAAATATTCTGTTTCAACAAATAGCATTCAGAGATTAGATATCTCAACCAGTATCATGGATACCGATTATTAAACGAAGTACTGAGAAAATATCTAATATACACGATAATATAGTAATATTGCACGGTATTTAAATAGCAATGACAAAATTCAGTAAACGTTAGGCTTAAACCTCGCAAAACAATCATATTCAAGTTAACTTTGACTTGCTGGCATGAATAACTGACTTAATCTTAATTGTTAAACCCCAGTAAATAAAATGAGATCTAATATTTGACAGTGTTATAACGCTCGGTTTCCTCATCTGCATGAATGGGTCGTTGATTGCTTTAAACGAATATCTACACTAGACACCCTCCTAGTATCTATTCTACAGGACTACAACACCACTCAAACCAAGAATACGTGACCAGACTGACTAGAACGTAAGTAAATTTTCACACCAAAAACCGACAAAAATCAATAATAATAAAGGGTAGGAGAACATATAACTCATCTAGTCCCGGTCAGACTACCTATTAGTCTGACTAAAAAAATAACCAATCATTATCATTCTCGCTCATACACCACAGAGATCATGGAAATTCGTACTGAGCTCAGTAGTCTACTAGTGCCTTATATGCGTTTTTTATTAAGAATTAATCAATTTATATTCCGTTAAGAATTAATTTTACACATTTAAGTGTGCCATCGAAAATAAATATTCCAATATCTTGACTAAATAACTCGGTTGGACTAGTTCATATTTATTGCCTTTGAGAACACTACACATGATGAGAATGTTAATCATGTTTTGTCCTCCAGCATGGATAGTTCAATGGTGAAGCTTCCATTGTCTTTATCGACACATCACCTATACACACTTCAATAAGAAGTGAGTTATCAGAACATCCCCACAGTTGATAAGCTGATAGTTCTGTTAACCTTTAATTTGATTGCCTATTGTCTATAGGTATGTAGCCGTTGTTTACCTGTCTGTTTTGATTATTTTCACCTCTGACCTGATCTTTGACCATTGAGTTGTAGACCTTTTTTCTTATTGGGTTGGTACTTTGAGTCAATTTCAATATGTCTACTGGTTTATGCATTGCTAGAGTCCCACGATTCTAAAAATGCTCTGGATTTCTTTGAGTTTCTTCTGTCCAATATTTCAACGTTTTCCCAGTCGAATTCGTGTCCATATTTGTCCATGTGCATTGATATGTGAGGAACTATCTCGGCATTTAACTGCATGCTGATGTTCATGTAGACATAGGCAGAACGACAGTCCACTTTGTGCCTCTCGTAGATGATACAATTCATTTTATAGATGACATTTGGTCTATTTCCTTTTGTCATAGTGTACTATGGTCTACATAATTTGGATTGCAAAGATTTTGTGTGTATGTATGTCACGTACGTTTCCAGTGTCATCATCAATCTGTTCGTGATCTTTGAAATGTTTTTCATGTAGGATAGAATTAGTCTTTGAATGATATTTGTTATTTATCAAATGGAATGTAAATTAAGTGGGAAACTCAGCTGTTTGGCAGTTAGCCCTGAATTAATAAGTTGATATTTACTGTATTAATGAAGTTAAATTTTTCTTTATTTTTATCCAATGCGCGATGCAGAAATCGAAGTTGATTCAAGTGCATCTTTGCAAGGCAATCAGTGTAATCAATTCAGGAATCAAAATACATTATTTAATGAATCATTATTTAATTCATTCAACGGTAAATCAAGGCAAAATAACAAGAATTTCGTAAAACGCAACATCGAGGTGAGAATATTGAGTTTCTTTTTTGAAAATATGATAAGTGGTTATTTTATGTTTAAAAGTTCGGCAATGAATGTCACTATTCCAGAGATGGGATGGAGAATAGCTTAGATAACTTCATTTAATGCCGCGTTAATTGCTTGAAAAAATTGGTCAATAATGAATAAAGCCTAAGTATTAAGTTTATTTTCTAATGCTGAATGCGAATAATCAGTTTGCTGACATTTTGAACATTTATTCAATACCCTACACTTAAGATGAATAAGGTTTAAAAGGACTTTGTAGTAAATTTATGAAAGGAGTTTGAGTGGATTAAGAGTTTGTATGTGAAGACTGTTGACACTAACTTGTAAGTAATCATTCTTATACCGTAGTTTAAATTCCATATATCTCACCTTCAAAAAAACGACAGTTCACTTGTATTTGTATTATAATTTGGTTTTTAAAATTTTTCAGTATGATGCTTAATAAACTAATCATATCTAAGGTAGAAATCCTACTGGATGTGTACAGTCCACTGTTGAGTCAGTTGAGTTTACTAACTACTGAGTAACTGGAATTGAATAACATAAGTCAATATTAAATTTCTGAAATAATTCACTTACTGATGTTGAACTATCTAGGTAATATTAGGCTCATCATTTATTCCTCATTAACACTGGTAACATTTCAACGGATCTATACAATACTAAAGCATTTTCCAGGTGAGACTATAATTTATGGACGAGCCAATCAGAAGCTTTTGAGCGATCTCAAATTCACGGCGCTTGTTTCAGTACCCAATACTCACGTACGATCGGTTTACAGCGGATTTTAAAGAAGACTTTATAATTTAGCGGCTGCAACAAATGAGATTACTAAGAAATTCCTTTAGTCAAATGACTCCTTGACCATGTGCAGACTATCTGATGATGTTGTATGTCGATGTAATACATGTTGGAGGAAGTAGTCCACTAGAACGGAGTTTTTTTTCTCGATCCCGACTGAGACTCAGAGATTATGATAATTGTTGCAAACTGGACAATAAAAGAACCAGTAACACTGACTGCGACTTTTGCACATATTACCGAAGCTTCAGCAGTTTAGTGGTGTGAATATTGTCGAGATATATGTACAATAAAAATGACAATCTTGCATGAGTCATTTGGAGGAGTTGGAAGAATCGTAGAACTAAACGAAACGGCCGTTAGAAAGCTCAAAGTAAATAGAGGACGAAGTGTTAAAGAGGACTGGGTAAGTAGCATTTCCATAAATATACTTAACATGTCCTTGGTATATACGATAGACCAACTCAAAAAGGAACTTTCAGAGGGTGAGAAACCGTTAGTCCACAACGATACTACCAATTATACGAGAATATGCGCAGCCGGATACCACAATATACACGGATGACTGGAGAGCATATCGATGCTTACATAGGCTTGGTTATGTGTATCATGTCGTCGTCCATAAGCGGTATTTTGTGGACCCCACCACCAGAGTACACACTAATATAAAAGCAATGTGGTCGAGGCTAAAAGAATTTTTGCGACCTTATCATGGCTCCAGAGGTCGAATATTATGGAGTCACATGGATGAGTACCTGTATCGTATGCATTACGATTTCAGAACTGCAGAGCCTCTTTATAACCTTGGAAATTTTTTAAACCATGTAAAAGAAATGCATTCGCTCTGATTTTTTTGGTTTTGTATAGTATATTTTTACTCTATACTAACTGTTTTATAATTGTCTAGTATCCCCTAAGGTCACTTAAAATTCATTCATCCATAAATTATAATCTCGTCGATCTTTTTTTCATTATAAATTTTTTCATATTGAATAAATATCTTAATAGCTTGCATCACATTGGAAGGATATAATTCCAATGACAATTGAAGATAAAGAACGACTAGAAGAAATTCTAGCTGAAGACGAAGAAGAAATGCAAATTGTCAAACAGAATGATATACTTCAAAATGAAATGAATATTGCCATAGTAAATAATTTTTTTCCAATTTTTTATATTAATGCAAAATAATGTACAGGCAGAGGAGAAGATTTGTAGCTCAGGTGGATGATTTTGATGGAGTTTTGTTCTATGAGCTGTATAGTTTGAATGACATCGTCAGTACAAACTCCAGGTTTGTTCTTAAAGTTCAGAATAACGATGAAAGCTCCACAACCAAACCATCCAGCTCAGAGAACAAAACTCCACCAAAAATGTACAGGTAGATTGCTCCCAAATGATCGATTACACATATACATAGTGATGAATAAACTAAAATGAGGGATTTAAAAGATGAAATATTGGAATATTTCTTGGCCTAAAAGTCTTCAAGGAGAGATAATATCGAGGAGAGTTGGAAGGTATTACGTTCAAAAAGTGAAGCGGTTACACAAGTAATGAGTTGAACTTGCTAAAAACATTTTTATTGTTAAATGAAGAATTTTATTTTGAAAAGCTTTATACTGATAATAATCGTATGCTCGACTCCAAGATGAAATTAATGGAATTTTAGTTAGAAGCCATGACCAAAGAAGTTCAACAACCACAGGCTATATAAGATGGTCTCTAATATGGTGAGTAAACTGAAGTTAGACTTCTGCATCATTGCATCTCGGCTCGGTAATTTAAACGTTGAGCTTTCGAGAACGAGATCAAAGGTCTTCGGTTCAACTCGTGGATAAGGATACGTGGATGTATATTGTTTAGGTGTCCCATACTAGGACAAAACAACCATTCAGTGTTTCCAGGTTTTTAATAGTTGTCTAGATAAGATCATTTCGCAATTGGATCTGTGAAAATTCTGTAATCGTCACAAAACCCAAAATTGAAGATTGAGAATTCTTAAAACAAATATCATAGCAGTAAAACATAAGATGATTAAATGAAAATCTGTAGCATACTGATTTTCGCTACTTCACAGTGCTTTTTTTAATAGGTTGATAGGTTTCAAGGCAATAAAAAAAGATGAAAATAAGTGTTGCAGAGACGGTTTGTATTTTGAAACAGACTTTTGAATCTCTCTTATCTTCGTAATAGTTAGATAGTGTAGGTTAACAGAATTAGAACTCGCCATTTTGGTCTGTACTGACGCTTTATAGCATCCAAAACACTCATAAAAATGTATTTCATCGTTTTAGTAACATCATGTTTGAACTCACTTCATTTATCTTCTGTAGTGAAATGTGGTCAAAACAAGAAAATGACAGAAGCTACATTTTCCAAATTCAATATCTTGTATTGATTTGACCATATTATATTTTCAAAAGATCCTTAGAATATCGGATGCACTGAGTAACTACTTCTTGATTGTGTTAATTTCCCGAAGTAGAGTGTCATAAAGTAATAAATATCTCCAGCCCAATAATAAATTTCATTTATGAACCATGAAGAAGAGTTCACACTTCAAATTCCATGACTCCTTGTTTTTCGGTTGATGATCTTCACGTTTATTAAATATTGTCAACTATACATTAGGCAATAATTTACTTAGCAGCTTTGGTGAAAGATAAATCAATATAAGTCATGAGAAAGGGATTCAAGAAAGAGATCTCTTTTCGGTGATGTTATTCTTGTTGAGACGTCGTCGTCGTTTTTCGGGGTTAGTAAATCTTCATTTGTACCGGCCTTGTGTTCTTACTTTCGCGTCGTGGGAAATGCAGTGTTTCCTCGTTTTTGAGTATAAGTGACAAGCCATTCCGACATGATAATGGGCGACGACCAGATATAACAAAGTAGCATTCAATCTAGAAGACATTTCTTCTTAAATCTGTACAGCCTCAAAGACTTGGGTTTTTTGGATGATAATTTAATTACGTGCTTGTCACTTGCAATAATTGCTTGAATATTATAACATAGAAAAAAGAAAGGAAATCGTACTTATTCAGAGACCGTGAAACAAAATGAGATTGATCTTAGAAACTAATCGATAACCATATAAAATCGAGATAAGTATTTATAATTACTGAAATAGATTATAAAGCGGTATAATTTAGTTTTGAAAAGGAAATGCAATTAGAAAAGCTATAGAGATCGGCGGGCTAGAGGCAAATAAAAGTGGAAAGGGGAAGTAGAGATTTGTATGACTAAGCATTACAACCATGGTAATAGAAAAAGTTGAGCAAGTTTCTTTTCCATATATAGTTTGGGATCCAATATGTTCATGATAAAGTCTACGGTCATCCAACTAAACTGGAAAATTCCTATTCGCTTTGCTGGTAACTCTGACGATGGAATCTCAATACGGAGATTTCTGCTTTGAAACATTCTTTCCTTTATGTTTAACAGAACACGAAAAATGTTTTGTCCTCTGATACAAAATATTATAGCACAATAGCAATCGACTGAACGAGATGCGTTGGATCACGTGATACACAACTACACAATCCTGACCAACGACTGAGAATCAAACTTTATGGTAGACGATGGTCTTAATAACAGAAGTACATGCAGACACACAGTGAAACCCAAAACAGAAGTCAGCATTACGACAAAAATGTAGTCTAAGTGTGCAATTCGATTAAATTTACTAGTTTCTCTTGACAATTATCTATATATGATGTTGTCAGTCAAATAAGATTTGAGATATTTAGTTGCAATTTACTCAAACGTAAATCCTTATATAATTGATTTGGGATTGTATGACATGACAAAAAAAACATACAAAAATCCAGTTACACCTATTCCAACACTATTTGTTTGAAATTTCTGAAAATAAGACGCCCCGCACAATCTGTAGAAATACTTCTTTATATCATAAATTACAGACGAGCTGTCCGTTTTCATTCAACGACTAATCACAGTTCAATTCATATGACACATCATTTTTTAATGATCTTTGATCATTTCATAAACCATTGAATAACGAATTTTTAGATTGGCGGTCAATCAGATGTAAGTAAATTCAACTTCGTTTCCTTCATACAAGTGTTTTTTTAAAGTAGGTCACATGGAACACTTGAAATTGTTAAATGTATCTGTTATCTCTCAAAGTTTGCTTAAATATAAGATGGTAATAACATATTTTGTGGTGAGGTTAAGGAGGTATTACTAGTTTCAGTCTCCTAAAACGATGGTCAGTTGTCAACCGTTTTATCTGTTGAATTTCATACCAGAAGTAAATTATCCTTTGAACTGATAACATTATATATTTAATGTCATAGATAGCCGGATGAATTATATATAAAGTAATAACTAATTGTTGTTAACAGTCTTTTTTTTACGGACATCTTGTTTCTCATAAAACAGTTAGATAATCGTTTATGTAGTCGCGTGATTTGGTCTATACAAAAAACATAACTTAATGTCATACCTTTGTGATTGATCATATTACTGTATATAACGTTTGGCTGTTTGCACCTGATGCGAAGCCTTGAATGCAAATGAAGTATTTTTACTCTACAAATCTTACTGTTCTTGCTTCGATTCATACTAAATGTTTTAGATTTTCTCATTTCATTTTAGCACAAAGAATCTAGTGACTCAATTCATAATGATAGATTACTGTCTATAGACAATATGGGCAGTATATTACAGCTATATTTAAATAGAACCAAGAGAAGTGGCTCATGTTTAGATGAGCCAGTATCAAATAATGATGATGACCAGAATCCTACAAACGATAAACCTAATTCAGTTAATCAGTTAATGTTGAAAGAAAATTGCCAACAGTCAGATAATCAATTGCTAGGAATGTTATGTCGTCTAAATGAAATCGATGAACAACTTGAAAAGTTTCAAATTCAAAGGAGAATAGACAATGAAAATACATCACAAATATTGTCTTCTTTAAGATCAACTGAAGAAGAAAACAAGGTATTGTTTGAAAATACCTATGAAATAATGTTTTATCACAACGTATTGCATTACATTGATACAGTTTGTGTTTGTGATATTATCTGTTACGAGTTCAAATCACATTAGAAGCATCAATGTCAAGTTGCGCGAAACAAATGCTCGATACTTTCTTCAGATTGTGCCTTGACACTTGAAGCATTTTGACGAAAAATGAAGATGATTTCTCTGTACATCTTGATATTAGTCAAGTTACTAATAAAAGACAAACGACGTCCATTGGTTTTTGTAATTAACCTTAGTTCATTGCAAAATTCCATATGTAAATTTCTTTTGGTAGTCGATAATGCAAACACAAAATCTATAATTTTAACGTTATTATTTTTTTCTGAAAACCAAAATTGTCAATGTATATATGGTGCGTACATCATTGTTACTATATCCATTAGGTGTCATAACAAGTGTTCACAAACACCTTTATGATTATGAAGAATGACGGTCATCAGTCTTGTCACATAATTGGGGTTGGACAGCACTTACGCTTTAGAAAATTTATTCACTAAACAGAACCTATTTTTCTTGATGAATTAACTTTTTTTTTCAATATGCATCTTATTTTAATGTATGAGGATTCGATAGTTTGGATTGTCGAAATCTCAAATGAGGAAGTCTCATGTAAATGTAACACTTATGATCTATTAGATTTATTACACTCAATACTTCAATTCTATACTATTGGTTGATAAATATTTATTAATTTATCATAAGTGTGTTTTTCTAAAATTAGTTACTTAATTAGATTTTTCGATTAATATTAATTAATAAGAACCTTTGTCAAAATTTCAATGAATAGTTTCACAATAGTTGTGCACCAAGGTAATGTAAGACACTAAGGTGGGGAATTATATTTATGTTAATCGTTGAGAATTTTGTAAAAATAATTTCCTTCTTTAATGATACTAATTAGTGTAATATGTTGTTTATACATTATTTATATGAAGATCCTTAACGAATATATACGCCCAGGAGAATATGCACTCAGTAAATACCAAGAAACTCGTGAAGTAAAAAAACGCCTCAATGAAACTGAAACTCGACTTGCTCAAATTCAAAAAATTAGTTTTGAAGAGGTAAGCTATGGTAAATATGAAGTAATTTTATTCTTAATTTTTCTTATATTCTAACGGTTTCATAAAAAAACGTCTATGCTTCAGAAGCTTTTAGTGAGAATGAGTAAATATGTAATAATTAAATAGATGTACTATCGGTTGACAGTTGAATATTTCATACTCATTTAGAACATACATTATCAATGATCTAATTAAAGAGAGTAACTTGTAGTTTTAAAACAGGTGAATACTGTTATTTTCAATAAAATGTGGTTACATTTAAAGTAACTTGTATAACAGATTTCTCATTCATCAAATAAATGTAATCACCATTCAATGACTGATATATGTATCGTACACATCAATGAATAATACACATTATATCTGAAATATCTTTGACAAAACTGGTTTGGTGGAATATACATTTTCAAAAGTGTACAAAAATTTACTGCTATCAAGTAATCACAAACTTCATGAGAGTTTTAGGCGTTCCAGCTGACAGAGTATGAACAACCAAAAGTAAAGTAAACATCCATTCTCGCACTTTTACGCACTCAATATTGTTAATTTTGATTTCAAATACGTGTTTTGTACATAAATGGTATGAAGTTTAAGATTAATTTTGAAATGTTTTGAAAATATTAAAAGTCATAAGAACCGCTGTAATACGTGAAACACTAAATCCCGATTTCAATTTAAAATTTAAGTAATAACTGGGTTTGAATATTGTTTTTTGGACGTAATTCTCATAAATAGACATGCTTAGTTATCTTGTTGTGACTGAAAAATAACATCTATTTAATAAAACTGAAGATAATCAATCTTTGAACTTCCATCGCCCAAATTATCTACAATCTTTCGAATATGTCTAATTTGCAACGACCTTAGAAATAAAATGACTGGGGAATTCGAAAATTATATTTTTTCTATAGTTTAATTTATTTGCGATACTAAGAACATTAAGTTTAAATGTTGTACATCTTTTTCTTAGAAATATGTCATAGAATTGTAATTTCTAGAACACACTATCAAGTCATATCTATTCTAAGTAAACAGCATTTAAAATCACTGAATTATTAAGTAGTTTTAAACATATCTAATTGAAATATCCCTCTATGTTAGATGTACAGTAATAAATTACTTTCATAAAAGTAATGTGTTCTCCTATTTATAACTTTCATGTTATATATTTCTGGTACTATTGTATGAAACAATTATCGACCAATTTCATTTTTTGTTTCCAACCTCGCTTAACCCCCCCCCACACACACACATACACCTGACCAAATTTCTACTTTTTTCACTGTTATTATTATTATTGTTGTTGTTGTCGTTATGTAAATATTTCTATATTTTTCACGCTTTCACTATTAGTTAAATGCAGTTTTATTTTTGATTTGTTATACTAAATTATGGAAGAATTCATCTAATAATATTGAACAATTAAATATTGATTTAAATGAATTAACACCAAATGATTAAGAATCATTATGAATTCGAAATTTTAGGGATAGTTCTGTTCATGTTTTTATTTATTAAAATATAGTCAATAGATTAATTATTTACGTAATATTATACTTTATTTTAGCGGCATTTTAAATGATCAATCTTAAATGATCCATTTAAAAAGTTTTTGTTCAATTAGACCAATCAAAATACTGATTTTTTTTAAATTTAGTCATCTATCAATATAATGAAAAGTTTTAGATGACATTTGAGTGACGCCTTAGTAAACCTTGAAAATATACACCTACTTACTAGAGCTAAATGAAAGTGATAAAGTAGTTTGAAGAATAAGGATTATGATTTACAGTTGATAGTTAAGGTTAACGCTTAGATTTATGGTTTTCATCATGAACTGACATCAACCAAAATGTCAAAACACTATTTAGACAAATGGTTAAATGAATTTCTCGCCAAAATCCAAGACCTGTTATCCTAAATCTGATTGGTTTGTTCATAAATTATAGTTTCGCGGTAATTTTTGAGGTTTCAATAGATTACTTGTACAAATAACTACTTCACAACCCATATGTAATAAAATTATTGGACTGAAAGGAACTACATGTACCTGACATCACACTATGGAAATAAATTAAGTTCGAACTGTTTATTTAGTCAATATATCGAAAATTCATGTCCTTGACAGAACTTAGATAATAAACGCCACTTTATAAATCACAACACGTGTAAGTATTATTATACGATGTATATATGGTATCTTCATCATTCTTATTTCCATAAAAATTAGACAACAAACCGATGATGCTAAATATTGTTTTAAATAAGTGGACATGTACAACTGTGAGTACCTCTTCCTAGTGAGAATATCTATAGAGAACTCGGAGTAATTAAAAAATTAAATTGTTAATAAAGCTTTAGATGCTAAAGATTTAGACCAATCTCTAGTGAGTTAATAAAATATTACAATTACCAATTATTAGGAAAAAACAATAATTGTAAGACCAGCGCTTAGATTATATATTTATATTGCATTGCCAATCATAATAAAAATCATTGGAATGTAACATTATTTTTCAAGAAATTTCCAATGCTTTTTTCCTTCAAAGTTTGGTGTAATAATGCTGTATGATATTCCGTCGCTCTTACATATGGAACTGAAATAACCCTCAATCAGTTCATCGGATATCTTATAATGAGTTGCTGTCTCTATATATCAAAATCGCATTGCCGAATTGATTTTTAGACTATCTAGCTTTTTCTTTGTAAAATAGATCGTTTTCGTCCTTCCCTTGGTCTTCACTTTGTCAGAAATCATTGGTGTTTATAGTATGCACTGCTTTGTGTAGTTGCATTCTGTTTAATAGGTCCTTTTCTGTTCTTTTTTGTATTACCGTTTCAAAATACCTGATAATAATAAAAAATTGCTGTTAAGCTTATACACAAAGTAATTGGTAAGTGAAACTTCTTCCCTATACTCATGAATTGCTTAGTTTACTTTTGTAATCATATGTCTTCATTAAAGAACTCTATTTTATTCACTAGCAAATAAAATGAAAGCAATTGTATATTGCACTTATATAATAGATTTTTAATACACTTTGCACAATGAAATAATACTCTACACTTTTCTATTTGTCATTGATATAATAAAATTGATATTTCAGAAAATGGGTAAGTTGATTTGTGCTTATTATGATATTTTTTCAATCACCTTTATTGTTTATAATAATAATAATAATAATAATAATAATAATAATAAGCAAAGATGGATAGTGGCTAGCAGTGGAATCCAGGACGCGCGTTTCGTCCTGTTTGGGACTCATCAGCTGGATGTACCTGCATCTCAGAGTTGATGTTCACTCTGGGACTCGAACTCAGTACCGTTCGCTTCAGATGCCATCGCGTTATCCACTTAGCTACTGAGTCCTGATAGCCACTTGCTTGTGCAATGGGGTGAAGTTTAATTCACTTGATATTGTTTTTTATTTGAATCTTCCCATATACAATACCATATGAAAATAGTTAAGATAATTATTCAGGCTTTAAGTGAATATTTGTTCGAGTTAACTATTGTACTTAACTACTAGTTATTTATTACATAGACACTATCACTTCATTAATTTGTATGAAAAATTTCAAAACAAATTTTACTTTTTATTTTGTTTAAATTTAATTTGTATTAAAATTTTAAAACTAAATATCAAGTTTCTATTAGTTACAGATCAAAGTAAGAATAGTGAAATATAATTTTTTTAAATAAATTCCTTTCTAATTGTACGATATTTCTATGTTATGTCAATGATTGTAGTAACAAAATTGAATGATATTTATAGTTATTTCAATAACATATTCATACAGTGTGTATAATTATAAGATACTTGTCATGTTCAAAGCTCAATTCTATATAATCTGTATCATTTAACTGATGCAAAAGTGAATGATTTCAAATAGGTGCTCATTATGATACGTTTACAGACAAGAATACACAGGGGTGGGAGTGATTATGTTTGTTTTTTGTGTTGGACAGTGATTTGATTGAGTTAATGACTAATAATGAAAAGTTTGGATAAATGTATTTATATAATTTATTGTTTTGTAATAAATACAGGAAGAAAAAGTTCAGGAAATACTTTCCAGATGTTGTATACAGGAAAATGTGATTAATTCTAAAGGTACCTGTAATGTCAATATGGGTTCCGGTGAACTTAATAAGTACGTTTAAGTAAGCTTAACTACTTGCCCAAACGTTTATATTTAGTTAAGACGGAATCGCTTTACATAATCCCGAAAAAAAATTTTAATAAAAACTATATTGATGTTGTGGTCTCCGAGCTGGATAGTTGGTTGCAAACCTTCTCATTATTCATCTGAACAGGATCATCAGTACGTACTCTGAAAAAAAGTAGATAAATAGAAGTTTCCCACAATTGAATAACAGCTTGTTTCGTATCTCTGGAATTTGATTAGTTGTTATCCATAACGATGTGGTTGTTGCTTGTATGTTTGGTTATTTTTTGTCCTTGTTGTTAGTCCTTTTTCTAATTGGGTGATAAGCTTTGATGGATTTCGATGTGTCTCCATTGATTAGTACTTGATTGGAGTGCCAGGCTTCTGAATATTCTCTGGCTTTCTTTGTGTAATATTTTGATGTTTCATCCGTCAAGCTCATATTTATAGCTATTCACTTGCATTAATATGAGCGAACCTATGTCGTATCGTTAAATAGCTAACTGGTGTTCATGTAGACAGACGAAAAGGGCGGCTATATTGTACTATATAGATTTTGTTACAGTTATTACGAATTATCTTGTAAACGATGATGAGATTTTCTTTGGTTTGGAGAATATTGTTTGGTAGACCACAATTGAAAACCTGGAAGCACTGGACAGCCGTTTCATCCCGGTATGAGACTACTCAGCAATGTGCATCCACGACATCGGCTCAGTAGTCTAGAGGTTTAGCGTTTGCGTTCGGGACCGAAGGTCCTGGGTTCGAACCACGCGTGTGTGGTGATGGATGCACTCTGCTGAGTCCCAGGCTAAGACGAAACGGCCGTCCATTTTTTGAACGGTGGTCTAGTTTATGAACTAATGAACTTAACTTTTAAAATCACTACAATTTCCTCAAACTTCATTCTGATCATAATATTGTTTTCAACGATTTTTTCGACTCGCGGTCTACACCCGTCCCTAATAATCTAATAAAATCATTCAGGACCTCGGAGATGTTCTTCATATGGGGTAAAATTATCCTACTTCATTCAGGGTTGTACTTACATATTTCACTATTAAAGATGACAGTGCTGATAACTAAACTGTATGGAACCACTAATAACCAGACTGATAAGTCTCCTAAATGAACAATTGAATCGGTTTCCTAAGTTCTTCTAATAACCCCAGGCTAAATCCACACGGCAACTTGATCATGAAGGGAAAGGCGTGAAGTGTGAAAAGAACCCTTTACTGCAAGGTCAGTTTGTGTACATAAAATCAAGCGTAATTATAGTATTTCAGATGGCCTTGGTCTTCTGGAAGGTCCTTGAACCATGCTAAACATAAAAGCAGGATAGGTAATCAGAAATGTGATACATGTTCTCACTTTCTAAATGTTTCTGAGAAACTTTTATTCAACGCTGATTAGATAAAATATTTCACAGAGTCCTAAGCCCCCATCTCTCCTGGACTTTTTCAAGAAACACTGGATCTCCACAACACAGACTTTTATAAGAGGGTTATTCGAAAATACATCATGCCTGTTCATTTATTTAATGCACATCGTGCGATAGGGGACATCGCTATATCTCCCGAAGCTACCTACAATAACTCCGCCTCGGATACTGTGATTTCGAAAACTTGATACACAAATGAACGCTACCCTTTCCTTATCCTCTATTCAGAACAGCTGAAGTCAGAATGAGTAGTCCCATGTTTTATTATATTATTTTGATTCACGACTTATGCGATTTTATGAATGAAAGACCAGATAGTAAAGTATCTGTAAAGTCTAATTCGTCTAGCTGCATCCAAGTTGTTCATTGTATTCAGTGCTTCCAAATAGATGTGGTCTTCATAATCCAATCGACCACTAGAAAAGAGAAAGGATAAAATTAAGCATTATTAATTGACACCGGTTTTCGTTTCGAATGCATTTGTCAGCTGTTTTTCATGCACAACTTCGCAGTATATTCTTTCGTATGGATTCCATATGATGTTGATGATCTTAGGTAGGCCATAGCGCTGAACGTTTTATAAGGTTCTCCTATGCACGCTGTCAAACGCTACCTCATTGTCAAAGAAGTTGATGTATAGTGGCCATTTCGATTCAATTGATTGCACAACAATCATCTGTAGTGTCGCGATTTGGTTTATGCATGACCGATTCCTACTGAATCCAGCCTGTTGATTTCAAAGTTGGATGTCTATTGAATCCGTCATCCGGTTCAACAATACTCTGTTGAAAAGTTTTCCTGGCACTGATAGTAGTTTGATACCTCTGTAGTTCTCACACTTGCTGACATA